AGAGCGGCTCCCACATGAAAGTAGGATCCCCAGCAATAAGCACAACAGTTTCTGCACTGTGCACAGAGCCAAGTCATCACGAGGTTTGTGTGGTAACAAGGGGAGAGTAGGACACACACAGGATATTTGTGTCAGAGCAAGCTCCAGAAAACACACAGAGGAAGCTAAGCTTTGGTAATGTCCCCATTGATTTCATCACTTCTGTGCTATTCCCGAGCAGCTGCTGGAGACGTCAATAGATGAGAATCCCAGTTCAGACTAGAGGCTATCTGCAGCACAGCAAAAGGTAGCCTGTGCCAAGAAGCATTCACTCAGTGCTGTGCCATGGACTGTGGTGGAGGGCACACTGGATGCCGGTAGGCCTAGGTGTCCACTTCATGCTGTGCTCTGAACAGACAAGACAGACCTGCTGCCTGCTGTGCTGGGAGTGGAAATGGAACTACAGCAGATTAAGTGCAACAAATGCGATGGTACTTAATGCTTTACCATGGCATGAGAAATCAAGTTTGGTGTCCCAGGAACTACAGGATACATATACTTTAGCCCACCACACAATGCTAGAATTATCTCATGTTCACAGAAAATTCTTTGAGGCAATTTCAGTGGTGATGGTAGAAAAGTAAGCCTCACCTATCATGTCTGGCACTGCTGTTCCATGTGACACACAGAACATTTCCTCCATCTGTTACTGCAAGTACTTGACTTACCTTTGAGAATCAAGCTTTTAGACATCCTACTATGTCCTGGTTTCATGGGTACATCTTCTGGTTAAGCTGCTTTGCCAGAAAGAGACTCATCTACTGGAGTGACCCATAGGCCATGTCCTTCTGTACCTGCAAAGAAGAGGGCGCTGTCATACCTGTCCTGGAGCCACATCACATTTAGACCTGGCAGGGTAGCACAGGCAATTGTCATCATACCTGCAGCATTGGCATCCCAACAAGGATGACGGTGAAAGCATCACAACCATCAATAAAGCCATGCATTATTATTATTAGCATGATCTCTGAACCATTTTCAGCATCAATTCTCTATAGAAGGTGGCTCAAACACTACTGCAAACTTGGTTACCCTGACAGCACAAGCTGTTGAACTCGGGTCTATTGAGAGCAATTAATACCTGTTGGCCTTTGTACAGCATCTGGCAGAAGTGATTGTCTATAAAACATAACAGGGTACTAAGTATCAGGGTCATCTGCTATTGCACCCTATCTATCCTGCCTTCTCTTCATATACAAACTGGAATCACACGATGTGTAGCATCTCTCTGCCTGGTTCACAGTCACCATTCTGACATTAAAGACAAAAATTTCCTCCTAACTGGTTTGAAAGACCCACAATTTCCCACTAAGGGACAGAGTGAGAATCTCATTATCTTGTGACTGATCTGCAGTGAGCACAAACAACATTAGATGTGTGAGTAAACAAAGGAAACACCTAGATACTTTTTTTTTCTGATCTGCTGAGAAGGCATCTGGAGGCTTGAAAGTTCATCTGCCAATACTGGAATGACATCTGCCATTTCTCAGCTGGTGGTGTGGTTTCTTTAAAATTTGGTCCCAATCTGTGCCTTAATTTGAAGAACAATTAAACTTTATGCACAAATAAAAAGCAGATCCTATGTTAGAGATACTCTATTGGATTTCTAAGCAGGCTAAAAAATGCACAATTAAGTAAACACCTTTATTGTAAATTGCTTTTCTTACATCATTATTTTTCCCTGTCTCAGCAGGACTGGGAGATATGCAATGCAACTACAAACAGAAAACATTTTGGTAATAAATAAATAAAAGAAAATTCAAATCCTACCTTAAATAAATCTAATCCCATATCACGGTCCCTTGTGAAGAACAGCCACTGTGAAATAGTCCGGAGATGTCAGTGTTCAATTCCCTTTGAAACAAAGGCAGGCAGCTCACCTCATACTGACAGGTTCCTTCAGTTTTAAACCAATGGTATTGACTTCAAAGCAAGATTTAACCTGATCTACAGCGGTATGAGTGGAAGATCAAACTCAATCTTGGTTCAATAGCTTACACAGTGCAGATGTGGTTCAACTTAGAAACTTAGCACCATCAGTAGGAAACTTTTATTTGAAAATGAAAGATTAAAGTCTGCAGGAGCTGATGAGGATACCAGGAAAAGCAGGCAGAGTGACGCAATGCCTACACAGCCAAGTGATACACTTCAGGTCCTCTGAAGCTGCCAGTGTGCTTTCCCTGAGACCCAGAGGATGCAAACTAGTAGAATAGGAACAACATTGCAAAGAGGGAGGAGAAATGGATGAGGGAACCAACTTGACAAGCAAGATAAGCTCAGGAAATGAAGGCTTTCTAAAAGATGAGGTGGGATAAAAGTACAGGAAAAAGCAAACAATTCAGTTACTCTGTCAAAACGACAACTTGAGTCTTCTCCTAGCCTGAAGGTCAATCAAGATTTTAGGTAGGAAACAAGATTCTAGAATTGCAGCTTGCCAACAAAAAGTTAGCATATGCACACTTACATTTCCACTAGATTAAAATGTGACAACTCGAACAAGTTTTATTTATGGAGGGCAGTTCTTTTTCAAAACCACATAAAACAATTATAGAGAACTACATCTCATAAGAACATGCTTTTATGAAGAGGAAATATATTCTAGGAAATGTGATCCTTAGGCTACAGGTGCTAATTCTGTAATAAATACTTTTTTTTTCTTTTTTTCTTTTTTTTTTTTTTTTCCCTAAGCTAGCTAAAATTGGGTCTCCAAGTGCTGATCTTTAAATCTATTAAAATTGATGTAAATATGGAAAAACTCCACTGAAATTGCATTGGTGGAAAAGGCAGTGCCAGGCCATAACTAAGCCTCATGTGGAAAATTTAAGAGTCTGGAGTTCCTGGGAGTTTTATTATTGTACCAGTGGAGCAGGGATTTCTCCCCAAATGTTGCCCACGCTCAGGGATAGTCAGCCTGTACTTTCTCTAATGTGTAAAGGATGGAAGAAATCAGAAGAGAGCATATAATAAATCAACTGACAGACTCTGAAAAATAGCTGTCCTGTCTCCTTAATATGAGAGAGACTAATGTTCTGAGGGCAGGAGGAATTTGGCTTTAGACAGAAAACATTCCCCTATAGGGGGACAAAAAGTGATCACTCCGTAGCTTAATCAATCTCAGACCTCTCTTTGAGGAAAATAACATGTTGCCTGCAATAGCATGTGCAATAATGTTTGCTGAAATATAAACTATGGCCATATACCCCAAGATGGAAGGTCAGAAGTCAACTGAGGATCTGGCCGCAGATGTTCGGCAATAGAGATCAAAACGCAATATATCACGCTCAGTGCTTTTCCTCAAGGAACAGGTTGCAGAAATATCTCAACCCATCTCCTTCACAGTCAGTGCACTCACCCTGCATGTAACAAAGCTGTAAATCACAAATTGCCAGGTTACTCAAAGACAAAGTTCACCTTTCCTAATTTCTCTCTGTCCTGTATCTCAGTATTCTAATATTTATACAGCGAATTTGCTCTTATCCACCAACACTGCTCCCTTGAACCTCTGCAATGTTTTTCAAGTCCTTCTACCAGAGTAAAGAATCACATGACACCACTTAGTCCTCCCCCAGACCTTGATATATGTTTCCTAAAGCCGACATTTGATATTATGGAATGTGTTGTAATCAATTCTTAAAGTTATAGCACCACTGGCTTTTTATTAACTTGCACAACAACAACAACAAAAATCCAACAAAAAAATGGGCCCTCATAACCAATCAGCCTTGTTATATCCTGAAAGCAGCTTTAACAAGCAGGGAGTAATATAGTGTAATTGGTACTCCGCAATTTAATTGTTCTGTTCTTAAATCTAATATTGCAGCTGTGGGTTAAGTTTACACCATAGCTTTCAAGAGAACATGAAAGTGTGGTACATCTGTGCAACAGAAAGCTAAACATCTCTCATCTGATGTGTTTACAATGACATTTGATAGCGTGGAATGGTTTGGAGTTCATTCTTAAAGCTGCAGAGCTGCTTTTCAACACAGCAAAAAAAAAAAGGGAAAAAGCCTCCTTCAAACAACTCAGCCCACAGAAGGCTGATGGTTATGCTGCTGCAGGCATTGCAGGGAAACTGCAGGCTGTAACATTTCCTTCAAGTGTTTTTGAGCATTTGTCACTCGAGCAGTGGAAAAGAGAACAAGGACATCTTCCCCTCAGATGACATAATCAATTATTTGAAAAACAAACCATTCAAAAAGTCTGCAACCAGACACGTAAAACAACCCCTGACATTCATAAAACAGAAAAGAATATTTCACGAAATGTTATTAAGTGGATGACCTTAGCACATTTAGAAATGGTGGAGTTCTCAGTTTAACAGGTGGCAGAACTGCATACGGCATCCTGAACTTCACGTTCTGTGTAACTATCAGCTTCAGCATTATGTACTTGTTAGTGAATTTATTAAGCCTGTAAGTAGTTCAAGAAACTTAGGAATGGGCCCATAAATGTCATCTGCAGTTTGTGAACTGCAAGTATCTGACTGTTTTGATCAAGGTTTTTACGGGAAAGTTAAACAGTTATTAAATTAATTTACTACTGCTACATGAAAAGGGAGTAAGCCTGCTGAAGAACTTTCATTGTGATGAGATGTGGAAGGCTGTAGTTCAAATGCATTAGAAGAAAAGCATTCTTGTTTATTTCTAAGCCCCCAGTTTTGTACATTATGAAGCTTATAGTGTATTCAAGTGGCAGAGAAAGGGTCTGTGGAAGGAAGGAGACGTTTCCCTTTCCCATAATCTGCTGTCAGAAACAACTGATGAAACTACTTTTCTTGTTCTCAGCGTTTGCCTTCTTCTAATGTTTTCTGGAGAAAGGCATGATAGGACAGATTAGTTAAGAGGTCACTTTCTGCTCTTTCCTCGGTAGCAATCCACAGCGATGGCTTGATTTATGCTCTTCAACAGACAGAATCCAATTTCACTGAAGAAGTTCAGTTACATCATCATACTACACTGGAATCCATTCAGTTTTTAAACTTTATTATTTCAGTCACAATTACGACTATCTGAAGCCTCTTCATAAAAAGGGGCCATAACAAAAGCTGTACACTAGCAACTTGATCAATGGATGCATTCATTCTGCATCAAAAATACCGTAAGAAGGACAGATCTCCTGGGGAGGCAAATCTGTATCAATAGTTCAGTCTCTTGAATACAGAAATTTGATACAATAAAATGCAACAACAAAGCTTCCCCTCTTTTCAATTAACTGAGAAACAAAAATTGTCCTTAGAGGGGAAGAAATGCATTTGTATTTTTTAGTTTCGGGGTTTTCCCCCCTTTTCATAGCATCATAATGTTCTCTTCATGGGTGGAAAACTCAATCTTCAAGTTCAAACCTAGTTTCTTCATACAGTTCAGGATGAGATGACTTGGAATACCGGGAATATTTCAGTTGTAGAAAATCACCCAATTCATCCAGAGCATTCAAAACCTGTAAGACCATCACATTGTGTCAATTCTCCTGGAAAAGATATGAAGTTCTACTGACTTTTATGTTACAGAAGAAAAACAACTTCCTAAAAGCATCAGTTAAAGAAAGGTGAAAGGGCAAATTTTGCTTTTACTCTCCCATAGAGAATGCTCATGCAGTCATAGATGCACAATAACATCCATGAGAACAGAATTTACTCCTTCAGAAGGTTATGGTTTATCAGTCAGTACATGAATTGAACACAGATTAAAAAAAAAACAACAACATTCTAGAAGCATGGTGAGATAATAATCCAGACAAAAAATTATCGTTACTTGCGAAAAAGGCATATGTAAGGTAATACTTCTACACTTCTATATCGATCCTGAAGACTGCAGTTGTCACTATGTTTTATTGGATGGGACTCAGCACACAGTGCTGATCACAGTCGTCATAAATACACTGAACAGTTTAAGGTATTTCTAGTGCATTCCATTGTTTTCTTGCGTTAATATCACAGGCATAATTAATAATGCATTAGGGTTGTAATGCAACTTGCTGAGCAGTGTCCTCAGCTCTCACTAGATTCAAAAAGTAGCCAGGGAACTTTAGACCACAGAGAAACAACTCAGTATCTTGTAGCATCTGAACCATGCTCAAGAGCTGCCAACCTTCTGGCATCGAAAAGGAAAATAGCAATTTTGATTGTGAGCGGAAAGGAGTATTTTAGTAATGGTTAATGCAGAGAGATAGTTTCAAAGTCATTAAGGAAGTTATTATTGGGAGCTTGCCCTTTAAATGGATCTTTCCTTTTCTTAGTTCCAAGCCAAGAGTCAAAAAAAAATTTGCCAAAGGGAAGTTTTCATTGTGCTTGTTACCTGTTGTTACACTGGATTTAGGAATGTTCACAAAGTGATTGCCCTAAAAAAACCTTTCCGTCTGTATGTAATTAAACTCAGGGCATTTCCATTCTCCCATAGCATAAGAACATTTAAAGAATGCCAGAGTTAGTATAGCAAAGGTAAAAGCACAGCACATTTAAGAATGATAGCTGGGGAGTGTTTCAGACCTTCACTTGTACCAGGAAGCAGGGACGTGCAGGTAGCAGAAGAATACATGCAGTGATGGCTTACAAAAGTAATGGACTTGACAGTTGAGGGTGGAGGGTGATGAAGCAAAGCAAAGCAGCAACCTCAAGAGATTAACCTTCAGATCAACCTCATTGCCTGTTACCAGTTACGTAAGCCAAAATCCACACTGTCAAACAGTAAAAGATGACAATGACCAACACACGGACATAGCTATGCCCTGCTCTACACAATTTTATCTTTCTGGTATTATGCCCTGCTAATAACTACTGCACCTTTAAGAGCAGCAGGAATTTTGCACTGCACACGTGCAAAGCAGATTTTTCGGTGTTGTCTGAGAGGGGTCTACACTGGCATGGGAGCTGGTCAGCCAGGCAGGGCTCCCTCATCAACCTCCATATGAATCTCAGGATGCAAATGGGAGCCAGGGGCTCTCTGCAGGCACAGATGCTTGTCCGCAAGAAGTGCCATCTCCTACTCAAATGCCTTCTGTATTCACAGGTGTGTGAGTTTTTTGTTGCCTTTTTTTTTTTTTTTTTTTTTTTTTCTTTGAGCATGGTACTTGTGCAAAGAGAAGAAAAAGAATGCTTGAAATCTACTGTTAACCCTCTGTGTTGCCTGCCTCTAAGTCGGCTTGCTCTGAGAATGAAAGAACGTATATCAAGTCAGGCCAAAAACATCTTTGGCAAGAAGGGGAGATGGAAAATTTCAAGGAGTTTATTTTAAACACATTTCTGACTATGTTGGAATGAGGGGTTAATTTTGAAGTCTCTACATAATCTTAATAGCATTTCTGGTGTCAGAGAAAGATACAGAGCTGAGAGAGGCCAGACAGCACCAATTAAACCTCATTAGGTTCAAACCATTCCAAATACTGTTTTCAGTTGCTACCTGTACCCCCAAGGCTGTCTCAGGTACTTCTGCAATTCAAGAAACACGTGGAAATGTAGAGTGAAAAATGGTATGGAAAAAACGATTTGCAATTATTTCCATATCGTTTCAGGTTTCCTACTCTGATAGTTTTGACCTAGCAGTTAGCTTTTGTCTTGCTGTGCTTTTCATGTAGGTCTTTATTAGTTGTGGCAGGCTTGGTCACTATTAGAAATAGAAGAACATAACAAGTTAACTGTCCCATAATCTGTTTTTAAAAATAAAATATATAAGGCTAAAATGCCTTTAAAGATCAAGTGACAAGACCAGAAAAACAGAAATAAAAATGAATTATTGAGATTCAAAGTAACAGACACACAGCTTCTCCCAACCCCCTTTGCATCTGAAGTTAATTTCAGCAGGACATCTGCTGTGCTTACCGTGTCTAACATCTCCCGTGTATGTGCAGCTGACACACAAAACCGAGCCCTGGATTCTGTGATAGGAGTAGCTGGAAACCCAACCACAACCACCCCGATATTTTTTTCTAACATGCGTCTTGCAAAGGCCCTAAGGAGGGAAGAAGAAGAAAAAAACAAGAGTAAATTATCGCTAATAAACTGACCACAAAGAGAAAACATTCAAGTATAATAAAACAATGGGTAGAATCCTGTCTTCAATTGAAGTGGATGGTAATATTCCCATTTAATTCAATAGGAGCCAGAATTTTACCAGTAGGATTGAGATTCTTTGCTGTTTAACAGCTCGTGAAGCCATGTGGGTGTCAAATACTAGCAGTACGATGGCAAAAAGTGTACTGTAGTAGAGAACCAATTCAGTTATGGTAAAGGCTTGGAGTGCAAATCAAAACCTCTGGGCACTAGCAGTCCCTAAGCACTGAAGAAGCTGGGCCTCTGGAAGATGTGAGAGCTGTGTTCCAGCACATAACATGACCCAATCTGTGTGATGGTTTCCTTGCTCCCACAATTACTCTGCCTGATTAGGAACGTTTTGCGTAGTGTTTACTACACCTAAAGCACATAACCACCCTAAGTTACGTGCAAAGGCTCTCTACAGTTTGGCTGTTGCATTACACATTTCTCAGTCAGTCCGTAAATGGTGCTTGATGGTACTGAATGGTAAAACAACTCTGTGCAAAGTGTTCAAGTATCAGTATCAGATGGAGATAAAGAGCATCCATCAAAAACAATTCATATCTCAAAGTCAATATGTCTCTTTTAAGAATTAATAATTCAAAAAAATCCAAGTTCAAAATGTAATCAGAAGTGTTAATCCAGAGCAAGATAAAGAGGTTTATAGAAAGTTTTTAAGGTGATACATACTGGAACAATTCAAAATTATGTCTAGGGGTAAATTTGAAATAGAACGTAACTAAAGATGAAATCACCTAACAAAGTATCTTTGTTTTGTGAAGCATCTACCAAACATAACTACATTTTTCCCAGTTCATATGAAATAAACTTTGCATTTGAATGGTGTTGGTTTTGCTGAGAAGGTGTTTTCAGTACTTACCCTATCTTACCAGGCATATAAAGGAGTAAGGGGACAACAGGAGAATCATCATTGCCATAAATGATGAAGCCCATTTCGTGCAGTCGTCTTCTGAAGTATCTTGTGTTTTTCCCTAGCTGGCGCACTCTTTGGAGCCCTGAAATGTGTCAGTCAGGAGAACAGTCAGTGCAAACATCATAACTGGAATCTAGTAACAGCCTGGAAAGAGGGCCATAACAGTTCAAAAAGCTCAGCTGAAATATATATATTACCATTTGATTCAGAAGAAGAACAAGAACATAGAATGAGCAAAGTGCAATTATATTGATTATTGTAGGACATTAGGACATTGTAGGCATATTGTAGGCATTGTAGGACAGACAGCTGACACTTCCATACTTGTGAGGTGCCTTTCCACTGCCAGAAACGTCTTGTTTCATGTCTTCTGGAGATGTGATTTGTGAACAATTCCATTTATTGTATTGCACTGAATAAAGCCTGCTGAATGACACACCCGTAGAGAAGCAGTTACGTGTCTCTAGGGATACAGGACATATAGATAGAGTATGTACTTTCCCAACACAATTCACTACAAGGGAAAACATCTTATGTCTACAGAGACCTTGATACATATGTCACTATATCTGTATATTTTCTCATTAACAACATTCTGCAGGGCTCCTCTTATACCTTAGCCAGTTCTGTGCACATAATTGTTTCTGTTTTTTTTTTTTTTTTTTTTTCCATAATAAAACTTAAAGTAGAAAACACTGCATTTTAGATCAGCTCAAACTGATACTTCCTTTTTCCTCAGTTTTTCAGGCAAAGGCAAGGCATTCAATAAACTCTTATTACACCAAGTCTGATATTCTATAGTGTGCTGTCAATATTCAGCATAATTCCAGTTATTATAACGTGCATCTAAATGTGTAAACCCTTGCTTAGTTCTCCTAATTTTTCATTCTGAATGACTTCCTATAGTAAACTCAAGGACAATTTTTTCTCATTTTCTTTTTCAAAGTAAATGAGGAATGCTGAGGTGGAAAGTGTGGCAATCCCATGTGATGCTTCCTACTCCTTTCTCCAGATCCTAGAGGTCTGTGCTGAACATCTCTCCTATACATTTTGTCACTTACATCAAATAACTCATCCACTTACATCCATAGGACTACTTTTGGCTACATGCAAGCATTTACAGAGTAGGTAAGTTGTGGAATTCTATGCAGTTATGACTGTACGTATTGCTATATCAAGCAGACCCTCAACTGGGGAGAAGAAAAAAACTAGGAAAAGAGTAGTAAAGTGTAGAAAAGAGTTAAATTCAAAAATAAATGTTGTATTGTGGTCCTTATTTGCACAAATTCATTAGAAAAACATATGACAGATCTCTAGTTTCTAAGATATGTTTTTACCGCTGTTTATTTGTGTATGTATTTTTAAACAGAGCACTAAGCCTTACCTTCCTCCTTTAAGCAGCTAGTGCAATTGTAGACAGGAAAAATGGGAATGAAAAAGAAGGGAACAAGAGAACCTACCCAGACACAAGCTTAAGTTACAGAATACCTTAACATTTGCTTTAAGAATTTTCTTGCTAGTTCTTGAAAGGATACGGAGTCTAAGAATCAGCTGTTCAGTCCCTGTGTCCTCTTATTTTACTATTACTTTCTCAGTAGTACAATCTGACAACAAACTTAAGTCATTCACATCTTTCAGACACAAATTTTGTTCCATGCATTGTCCCTGGCCTCACTCAGTCACTAATTCAGGGATGCATCTCCCAGCAAAACCAAAAGCAGGGTTGAAAACTATTATTTTTAGTGAAGGGAAAAAAAAAAAAAAGACCAAAACCAGCAAAGGAAAACATACTTAACAAGTCAGCTCAGCCATTTCTTTTGTAGTGTCACTAAGATGATTTCTGACAAGGGCAGTTACCTCCCTATGCACTGCATACAAAAGGGAAGAAGCCACACTCATCATTACTGCAGACAGGGGCTAGAGGATGCCCTTTCCTCACTCCACCTGCATGATATTTCACCATCTGGCTGATATACGTGCTGCACATCTAATGCTGTACCTCTTGCCTACCTGGATGGTGCTACCTACTTGGTACCCACACATTGCTGCTTCCCAGTGCCCCCAGCACCAGTCCTGGGTTCACACTGCCACACAATGAATCAAGCCAGGTCCCTCACCTGCCTGACCCAGCCAGAAGGAACCACATTACTGTCAAGCAGATTGATTCCCTAAGCATTATCACTGTGCAGGTGCTTGCACCTGCCCAGCAGAGGTGGTGTGAATGCATGGTAGGAGTGGGATTTAGTGGGACAACATCTCTGCTACATCATTGTCTTTCCTTTCTCCTTTTCATCAGCCCATCCTTTCCCTATCACTTTGATCATGTCACCAGACATGAGCACTGAAGTCCCCAGTACAACTTATTTCCTTTTTTTTTTTTTTCCTTTGCTTTTAAGTTGCCTTTGTGCAGATGTACTTTGTTTTCCAACTCCATTTCCTTTTTCCTTTGCCTTTTGTTCACTTCATTCTTCATTCACTACTTTCTGCTGTCATCATTCTCTGACTGGGTGCCTGTTTGCTGATGTCCCATCTTCCTCTTTGTAACCACAACAGCCAGTTAGGCAGTGACATCCGCAACGTGCCATCTTCGGCAGATTCGTCCTCTGACCACATTCTGCCACAGCTACTGCTGAGGCTTTTCTTCCTATTCTCTCTTGGCATGGGTGGGGATCACCACACCTATGTAAATCTCTTCTCCACTAATCATTTCTGAGTGCATGTAGGTTTGAACAAGATCTACTGCTTCATCTGTTCTGTATCTTCCCGAGTCAAGGTTCTGTTGATGTTCTGGCTGGGAAATTTATAGGGAAACTGGGACTTGCTTCACAGTGATCAGTGTTTTGCTGAACAAATTAAAAGATCTCATAAAACCGGTGCATTTGTAACTTTATGCACAAACTGCCCACACAGACAACCTGTTAGTTACAGTTTCAGTCATTCAGCTTAAAACATTCAGTGGAAGAGATCTGCTGGGTTAGAAAAGGCCACAAATAGTTTAACCATCTCTCTAATGCTGCTAAAACAAAAACAGCTGTGCCAGAGCAAGGAAAACAAATGAAACACAAAAGCATCCTACTACAAAGCTTTCCAGTCACTAATAAAAACAATAGCCTGTGGTATTTCCAAAAATATTTTTGGTGTAGTAGATCTCAAAGAACCAGGAGGAAATATTAAGGAGGAGGAGGAGAGATGGGGGTAGGGGAGGCTAAGGAAATGGCTAAGGAAAAGGGTTAGAGAAGAACTGCAGAATAACGTGCTTGAGGAGAGAGAGTTTTCATAAAGACTTTACCAGCATCTCCTGAACACCCAAATGACAGGGAGGTGGGTGCAGGAGTGACCTCAACTGGGGGCTGGAAATCACCACTGCTTCTTGCTATCTTAGCAGCCCCTAAGCTAGTTTCCAAACTCCCAGCCTCCAGCATTTGAAACTACTAGATTTTCAATTAGGGAAAGTTTTCATAAATGCAGATGTTCTTGGCGGATGCAGTTTAATACTTGCCGCCTTCTCCTTTCTATTCAGCTGTTTACCACAAAGCTGGAAACAAAGTGTCAGCCATGCAAGATTCCAGGCCCTTCGGTATTTATCAAACCATATGCTCACGGCCTACAGTTGATCATTTTGTCTCTCCTTATTTTAGGTACCAGGAACTCAGATTCCAAAGCAAAAGAAGCCTTAGAGCTGAAAGAGTAATTTCAGGCAAACCCCCCAAATGTTGAATACCTCCCTCCTTTTCCAGTCCTACCCTGCTAAATCCATAACCTTAGCCAATTTTGCGATGGGTCGGATTCCCTTTTGAAAACCCCCTTGGAATCCATTCGAAGGAAGCCAACTTTGATGCAAAAGAGCCACTTCAATGTTTCAGAAACATCCCAAAATAGTAATGTCACTTGCAGAGATGCATTAAAGAGCCAAATAAAAGATCAGAGCATTCACATATATCTGGAGGGAGAAAAAGCACATTAGGAGACGATTGCTACACACACTGTACTTGTGGGTGGGTGGCTGGGAGGAACCTACTTCTTTACCAAGTGTCAACACTTTCCTTTCTCATGTTAAGCTTTGTGGTCAAAGACCACATACACACACCATATACACAGCCATCTTCTAGGCTGTCCCGATAAGAGCAATAAAAGCCTTAAAGTTTGTAACTGTATTTCAACGCTTTTTTCTTTCCTTTATGGGACCCTCCAACGTCAGATAAGAAGGCAGATCTGAGCAAAATGTTTATTTTGGTCTCATTGGCCCAATTTTTCCCCCACACTGCAGATTAAATCAGCATAAGAGTGATGGAATTCAGCTTAGAATCAGATCTTAGTCCAAATTTCACTGTGGTATGTTTAATCACAGGCACTGTATTTAAAAGCTATTTTCTTTGATTCTTGAGGCTGTGATCTTGAGTCTTGTAGTCTTCTTGCTAACCTCCTCCTTTTATGAGCAAAAATCTGCAGTGTCAGAGCTAAAATGATATAACTGCATCTATTTTAGGGCAAGAATTTGCCTGTGCAGCACTAATTACAGGATAAGAGCCTTAGATAGTAAATATATTTGTTCAAAACTTTTTAGTTTGCAAAATTCTTGAGGATTTTCAGACTCCATGGTCTATACAAATAGCATATAGCACAGCATGCAGGATAGCCAGGTAGATATATTCCCTAAAACAAGTGAACCACAACAGAGTATATGTTCAAAGAAAACAGAAAGCCTGAGCAGGGAAAACTGACCCTTAGCTAACTAAAATGAAGCCCACTAATCCTTCAGATTTCACAGCTGAGGTTAAGCACAACTTTATTAAGAGCTCTACATCAAGAAGATGTAGAATTAAAGATTCATCAGCTAAATTTAATTCTAGCTGAATTAAAGAGGGACACGAAGAGGGAAAACTGCAGGATAAAGGACTCTTAACTTCACAAGTTATCTTCATGCTACTTGGAACACACAGTGCTACATAGCCAGTTTATGGGGATTGTACTGAAATACAGGAGTATTTACCTGGACAGTGCAACTGTGCTGGCAAATTCAGAAATTACATTTGTTCCACTGCTTTAAAAATATTTGTTTTATTGCAAAGTTCTAAGGTGTTG